AGTCCTTTGTTCTTTCGGGAGAGGTGGAGCTCTGCATTCGCATCATCTCTTGCAGTTCATCAACACTGAGGTCAGGAATGTCCTTGAACGGATCGTCTTCACTATCTTCGCCCTTGGGCTTCTCGGAAGTTGGTTTGGGTTTCTCCCGAACCCACTGATTCTTGTCCCGGTCATAGGTCAGCCCATTCACCTGTTCGGGTATAAGTCGCGAGACGACATCGGATGAGAGAACACCCTTTGCATGCGAACTCTGTGAAGAGCCGGTGGGGACCGAGCGCGCACTGAGGCTCTTGGACGATACTTGCGTATTGATAGTCAAAAGTTCGGGCAGGTCATCATCCTCTTCAGGTTCACCGGCTGAGAATCCATCACGCTGGCGGAAGTCTAGATCAGCCGACTGCAGGTCGAGCTCATGGCTCTCGCCTTCCTCTGTTTCCGCACCGTGTAGACCGCTGCTGTTATCATTCGGATGATCCCGGTCTTGGTGCAGATTCAGAGACATGGCGGATGCGTTGACCCCAAACTCCTGGTCATCGACCTCCTGAAACTTCTTGAGGTGGCTTAGGATCCGTGGGCTTTGTTGTTGGGGCTCCCTCAGTCTCCGCATGTCGGTTCCTTCGCGACTAGGAGGCCGCGAAAATTCCTCCCGAGTCGATTCGTCTTCATAGCTTCCGCTTTCGTCGATATCTTCCTCTGCATCAGATTCCTCTACGCTAGACAGACCGCCCGCGGACCTGCCTTTGGATCGAATGATGTCCATGATCTTGGTCGCTTCGTTCAGGAAGTCTTGAGTGGTGATTGAGCCCTTACGACCACCTTCATTGATACCATTCACCCTTACCATGGGTATTGCGCTGTCCTCGGGGGAACCTAGGTCGATGGAATCGGCATACTCAGCCCGCGAGTAAGCCTTGCCTGATGACGGCCTTTTTCGTGAAGCAGACCGCCCTTGACTTGTGGTTGGAGTTCGCGGTCGAGGGGACGATCGGGAACGGACTGAGAATTGATGATCTTGGTCTTCATCACATCTCACTCCTTGCTGGACCAAGCTTCGCTGGAGCAAGGACATATTATCTGGATCCTGAGCCGTATTTTCAGCAGGATCTTGTCTCGAATTGTAAGACCTAAGGAAGGTTCTGCGCCTCTTGGGGGTTGGGTCTTTAGCAGGCGTGTTCGGCGTTGTATCGGTCTCTGACGGGTACATCTCCTCTACTCTTGCCAGCCCTTGATTTCTTATAGCCTTGGAACTTGAGGTGATATCTGACAAAGCCGTAGACCTCGAGCCCCTGTTCGATTTGTTGAAGTCGGAACTATGGCTGTTCTGTCTATACGAGCGGCGCCGCAGAAACCTTCGCTCAACAGACTGTCGTCGCGGCGGTTCTTGAGTAGGCTCCACCATCTCACTATTCAAAAATTTGGGTTCATACGGACTTGTGTCGGAAAAGTCAAAATTGTCCAGCTGGCCGTCACCGAATTTGTTGATACGCGGGGTCAGGGTATTGCGTGACCGCGGTCTTTCATGTCGCCGTGAAGATGGCTCACCCAGAACCTCATGGTTGACGGTAAGAAAACTTCTTCCTTCGCCCTTGCGACGAGCTTCCTCTGATGGCGAGTCTGGTTCATCATCCTCGGACATACCCCCAAATGTCTCTTCGAACTGGCTCATCCTGCGCAAAAGGCGATTGTTGGTGAAGGTATCATGGTTTCCGAAGAGCTTGAGCGGGCTTCCAGAGGAGGGCATGGCGTCTGGTTTCAAGTGATCGGCGCTGGATTGCAGGAGCTTCGGCGCACCAACATGGGCAGATGAGGGTCGTGGGAGCGTTGGTGGGTCGGTTAGAGGATTGGGTTTTTGGTAGAATGGGGGCGAGCTCCGGATTCTGGAGCTGGCAGGAAGAAACGGCGAGAGTCGCTCAGAAGGGAAGGTGGGCGGGGAAAGACGGATTCTTTGGAAAGAACCTTCGTTCACGTCTTCTTCCCTCCGCAGGTTTGCGAAGGCTCCTCTTCCCCGGTAATCTAGCGTCCCCATGGAGAGGTCTTTTGGTAGAGAATGACTCGTGACATCGAGCAAGTCATCCTCCGGCATGGTATCCACCGCGATTTCTGGCTGTTGGTGAATCAACAGGCTGTCACTCGCTGGAGATTCTGGTCGGTCCCAGGGTGAAAGGTGTAGTCTCTCGAGCTTGTTTGTCACCTGTTTCAGTGCCGATTTAATGACCTCCGACGTAGTCTGTCCGTCAACTGTGTTCGTGCGTGTGAACGTGATTGGTGTTATGTCTTCATTGCGCAAATCCTCCATGCCGCTCGCGGTTCTTTGTTGTGTGTCGGCGAAGGAAACGTCGCGGTGTTCGTTATCTTCTGGTGAGGGTCGCTTTGATTCTTTGCTCATGGCTCGCATCCTGCTGCGCGACCCTGGCGACCCTGGCGACCCTAGCGAACCTGGCGACCTTGGTGATCTTGGCGACCTTGGTGATCCTGGTGATCCTGGTGATCCTGGTGATCCTGGTGATCCTGGCGAACCCAGCGGACTGCTCCGAGCCTCTTCCTGCTTCGGTGACGACTTCGGACTGTGGCCCACTGAATCTTCGTCGTCGTCGTATGCGCCAATTGATGAAGGATCTTGGAAACTGGCATCGTCATAGCCTAGTGGGGTCGTAAAGTGCCACATACTGTCTGACTGTTTCAATCGCGATAGCGCCTCCTCGTGCGTCTTTTCGGTGCCCGGGGTCGGAGGTTTGAAAACACTCTCCAGCCCAATCGGCGCAAATAAGTCGCGCTGCTCCCCAGCGGCAATGTTTCCGTGCACCAGTCTTCTCTTCCATTCTGGGGTGCCTTCCTTGCCTTTGCCCTTATTTGGTCTAACCTGAACCGTGCTTTGTTGTTCCGATTCACCGGAGACATTCGAAACTGATCGCAACGGCGACCTCGTGTCCATGGCAGACGACTGTTTACGGAGCGAGGGCGGGTTCGGGATCGGTTTCGGGCTGCTTTTGTTGGACTTCTCTGGGGGAGGGAGCGGCGATCGCAGCTTGGAGGGGGTCTTGGGGGTACGAGGGGTCTTAGGTGTGGGTGGTTCACGTTTAATGAAGTGGCACGGTCTGGAAACTTTCTTCCTGAAAGAGTCAGGAGAAGGGCCGACGGAGCGACGCGCGGGAACAGGAATGCGACTAGGAGAGTTTTGTAGGCTAGACCGTCGGGAATGGGTGAATGATCGGGATAAAATTGGGCTGGTGGGAGTGCCGGGCGTTCCAGGAGTTCCAGGTGCAGGGACTGGGACCCAGTCGTCTGTGAGATTCTCCAGCCATGGAGGGTTGTTGCTCATTTTCTGAAAGGTTTGCGATCACCAAAGCTGGGGGGTGGAAGTTAAGGAGGGGAGGGGGGAGGGGGGTAGTGGTCTCGGAGGTTGGGCGGAGGGCAAGCTGGGGACAGCGCGTCGCGATTCACAATGTCCGTGAATGCAAGCACAGCGGAAATTAACAGCTGCAGGGCGACCATGGGTCAAGGAACCCTCATCCAAGAATAGAAATGGAGAAATAAATCAAAGGCATTGAACACCACCAACAATGAAGGCGTATAAGGATGTTGCGGGAACATGCGAGACAAGACAGAGAGAGAGACACACACTTCGGGAGGGTTGGGAATAGTCAATAAATTGTTTGATGGACGATGCGGGAGTAATATTGATAACAGGTAGAGCTAACCTACTGTAGATGTGGTCGGGGCAACACCTTACCGTATTTAATACCGGGCTGGCTATACTTACCACCTACTACGTACTTTTCGATTGTTTTGAGTCTACAGACTAACTTACAGACTATCTTTCGATCTTTCAGTTTTCAATTTCCAGTCTACTTTTCTTTTTTCTTCCCCGCCACGATGGAACTGTCAGCTTAATCACTTTATCCACTTTTTTTTATCTCCCCGTGATAATTCACAGGTGGCAGTGTGGCACGCATGTGCTTCCCCGAGACCGTGCTCGTCCCCTACTTCCTTTCCTATCTAATTTTACCTTTTAAACCCCCCACCCCTCGAGGGGAAATGATCAGTCTCATGCCTTGCTTAGGCTCGATCCATTCCTCTTTAGCTGTAAGCTACTGCAGTACCTACAGTAATGGAGTACATTACGGCGTAAATTACAACCTGAAAGTGGTGCGTTGGCATTGGACCCTCTCCAGCCAATTGCAGCTCCAAGTCCGGTATAGGCAACGAGCACCTTGTCGGGTCTTAGTAGTTCATATACAGTGCTTCAAGTCTCATGCTCAGCAGTTGACATTGTATCGGCGCGAGGGATCGATGAGGGAAGATCTCAGGCCAACCCTGCAAGGTTGCAGGTTCGGTGTTTCAGGATCCTCGACACAATTTGCCCCAACAGCATGGCGCTCTTTCAAGTCCCAGACCAAGCTCTCGTGTTGGGTTAGGAAGAAACCATACGTAAGATGGGCACAAAACTGGCTTTTTCTTGGCCAGAGTGTATCGCTAGCGTTGGGTTTGTTAGTAGGCATCTGGTAAGGACCCAGCAAGTGCTAGGGCTACAGTTCCTTGTATAAAGCGCACTACTGGCCAAAGAACTGAAGCCGATTTGATTCGATTCCTGTGTAGATAATGATAAAATTGGCTGTAGCTATTATGATATCGGCATCTGCGCAACAACAATGATACTAGCAGGGCTAATATTCCCTGTTTCCAAGGAGTCCAGCCAGAACCCCACAACCTCAGGCAATAAGTACTGTGTGAAGCTGTGCTGGGCTCAATTGAGGGCTGCCATGAACCTATTGTAGGCAGTATCACTTAAACTCACGACTGATTAGTTGTAGCCTGAAAGTTGACGTTACTTAATTAGGTCCACGACAGTCCTCGGTCCCGATTAAATACAATGCCGAAAAGGGTAAGTAACTAGTCAACAATTGACGGGTGCTGACATAACCCCAGCCAACGACACGTTGCTGGGGCATCCACTCAATCCACGCGTTAAGTGGTTTTTCTTCTCGCGTGACAGCCAGACAGCAGCCTAGACACTTCGAACAGTTTGGAGCTGAGGATGAAAAGATGATGTCCTGACAATCACTTACTTCGGAAGCTATGAGGGTCACTCTACAATACGAAAATTCCCCCATTCTCTGCCAGATGCAGCCAGTGCCAAGCTGCTGCACCCTTGAATTCCCCCTATCCGAACGATCAATGAATGCATCATCATTTCACCGATGCCACCTCGTCGCCCAATATCCCCGCTCTCCTTCGATTCATGCTCGCTACCCCCACCGGACAGTGACCTCGACACTCTTGCTGGCTCCGATGACGACTTAGATCCTACTGAGCGTCTGGCTCGACATCGGAGAATTGAGAAGCTTGCTGAAGCTTATCTACAGGGCTCACCGCTTTTTCTTTTGTCTGCATCGCTTCGAGGACCTTTCGACAATGGATGGGTCAATCCTTGGAGAAAGGATCGGTGCAGGCATGGCGGATCGGAGGGTACCGAGGATGAGAATAAAAAACGGCCAGTGATCCCGGAGACGAATCCGCGAAAACGACCACTATACCACCACGAGTCTCGTGATACACAACGCTCGCAACCTTCCACTCAACATCCCGAGACAATTCCGAATCTTGAATCCGGGAAGAATTCGACCACAGGATCCTCTAACAAACGAGCGCGGGGCAACAGCAGAGATATACGAGTTGCAAGCGCCACACCAAAAGATACATTTGTCTCCAAGGGCCACCCGTCTCCACACACAAACAGAGGTTGGCTGAAGAAGGACTGTGCCGGAATTGGGTTTCGAACTGTCAATCCGCCGACATCCCCTACGGCAACTATATCGTCTCGCCGTCAGGGAGCAAAGGACAACATCATACAAGTACCCGCGACTGACTACCGATGGGCAGTCAGGGATCATCGGAAAGATCTTGATCACTTGCGTGAGGACAAACGTGATGTTCATCGTGTACCGGACAGTGTCAAGGTTCCTGCCTTCAAGGAGCAGCGCAGTAGTCAATCTGATCCCCAAGGAATTTCTTCCGATGCAGCAAACCAGGAAGGCTCGCTTTATGTCCTTTCCTCGTCCTCGCACCTGCCGAAATTCGAGTACCGGCGCGCAAAGACCTCCGGACACGGCAAGCAGGAGGCCGAGTCTACGTCTGCGCATCAGAAGCAAGAAGATAGTCCCAATCAAATCGATATGGCTGAGGACAACGACCATCAATGCCATGATAACCAACCCTCGCACGGCGCATCTCCGGAAGACGCTATCCGGCTCGACTCGCCCGATCCCCCTGCCGCAAATGAGAAAAGTGCGCCTGCTTCTCAGTCGCAGGTTACAGACGAAGTGCAGGTCACAGATGCTGCTACATCTCAAGTCATCTCATCGACAGAGGGGGCATCTTCCAACATCGAGCATGTAGCGGCAAACGTGAGTGGCAAATTACCCTCAGCGCAACATAACCCCCTGAATCCAGCCATTACGCACAACGCTACCTCGCTACATACGATCTCTGCCGCAAAGGCTCATACTCAGAGTGACGAAGAGACTATTCCCGACCCGCAGTTCAATACACAGGCCGCTCTTCTTCACGCCCAGATATCATTTCAGAAAGACCTCGAAAGCCCAGAAAATACTCCTGGTCGGGCTGCAAACCCAAATTCTATATCTCGCAATGATATCACGCCGTTTTGCAGAGTGGCTACACCCGGTGGGCTCGAGAACATGCCAGGCAACAAGGCACCTGGGACGATGAAAGGCCCCGTGATGAGCACACAATACCTCATTGACGCCGTCACGCCATTCACGCTCAGTACTGAGAAGAGGTCTAAACCTCGATTTTTGACTCCACAATATCCTGAGTCTAGCACTAAGCCAGGAAGATCGTCTTTCGAGGGGGCGTTATCCTCCCCCATCCCGGACTATGCCAACGACGAGAGCCTCAATATTGAATCATCTCAGCCGCCGGATCATGCGGATCTCTTAGATCCCACTCAGGGAGAAGATTTGGAGATGACCTTCTCCGGAACTATGCCTACCACGGGTGAGGACGGTCAGGGAGGCGCGATGGGTGCTGAAAGTTTCAACCTCAACGAAGCAATTGCTGAGGCCGGGAGCTGGTTAAAGGAAAGCTTCGACATAGGTCAGGAAATCAAACGATGCGCACATCCGAATAAGAAGGGGTCATCCTCCGGCACTGGCCCATCAGCGGTAAGCCTAGATGCTTAAGAAGATCATTGATGGTGACTTGGTTTAGAAGACGATCACGGCAATCACTTGCTTGTGGCGCCACGAGGCGGTCTTGGTTCTCTGGTAGTCTTCTTGTACATTGAGCTATTTCTTTTTTCTTTCCCCCTTTTTTGCGGGCATAGCTTTCATGCGGGCTTCATAGCGACATAGACGCACATTATGAGATATGATAACCTTGTGAATATAGTTTATTGAATACTTGACGTCTTTTATCCTGAATCCCTCTTCCCATACGGTTCGAAGTGTCTTAAGACCGTTGAGGATCGGTTGGTTATGATGTGATCCATTCTGAGAAACGCAGGTTCGTGCCTGCAAGAATATACAGAAACGCCACCACCACGAACCCACCATGCAATTGACATCAGAGACAAGAATAGATCAAGAGCATAGTTCTCGGTCCTATGCCAGATAGGTTAAATTGCTATATCAAGCTTGCAACTAACTGCAGTGCACTTCGACCTCCACAAAAGTAAAAGATGTAAACAATCCGAAAAGCTCCAACAATGACCTCACAGTCGGAGATACGGGCGGGCGGGCGGAATTAGCGCGGCGGAGCTCATCCGGCGGATGGAGACTAGTTAGTCTTAAGTTACTCCACGCAAGTCGATGTCACTCCAGCTTGCACTTCCTCCCCATCCCGCTAATCGCTCACCTCCTCAGTCCATGGCGTGGGCTGTGTCCAAATGGCTTTGACATCAGTGAGACTGCACGCTCCATATTTTAGCTCCTCAGCCTCCTCATGTTACTAATGCGCCCTGAATTAGTGGAAAGCGTTCAACTTCTTCGATGTCTCGTCGGTGAAGCTCCCGGAGGAGAGCTCATCTATTCTCGGTGTATGCCCCCCCCCCCCCCCCGTGCTTTTGTTCGCGTCCAGCCTCGTCGCTCTATCTGCTGATACAGCGTCTAACATAGTCTGATATTCTCTCCCTCTGCTCCGGCTCCTCTCACCTTTTCCTCGGCTCCAACGATGGCTTTGTCCATATCATCTCCTCGTCTTTCAAACTCGTCCGCTCGTTCAAGGCATCGGAGACCGGCTCGATCGCACACATCAAGCAGATAGACGCATCCTCATTGCTGTTGACCATCGCGGAAGATCTTCCGAACGAGCCGATATTGAAGGTTTGGGCCCTCGACAAGATCGAGAAGAAGACCGGTGCCCCACGATGCCTGTCAACGACGTCCATCCAGAATGCGAGGAGGATATTTCCCGTATGTGCTCTACATTATACGTCAGGATCCGAAGACACCATATTGATGGCTTAGGTTTCTGCGTTCACTGCTCTTGACGACCTGTCCCAGGTGGCAGTTGGATTTGCGAATGGGTCTGTCACGATTATCCGCGGTGACCTGATTCACGACCGCGGAGCAAGGCAGCGCATTGTGTTCGAGTCGGAGGAACCAGTGACGGGACTCGAGGTACAGAGTGGCCCGGTCGCGACCTTATATATCTCGACGACTAGCCGAATGCTGGCCCAGATCATCTCTGGCAGAGGTCAGGGCCAACCGGCGCGCATCCTGGATGACATGGGCTGTGCCGTTGGCTGCATGTGCCTGGACAAGGATACCGGCGATGTTCTCGTTGCTCGCGAGGATGCGATATATACCTATGGGTCACACGGACGCGGACCCAGTTACGCTTTCGAAAGTCGGAAAGACTCGATCAACATTTTTAAGGACTACATCGCATTGGTCTGCCCGCCACGCGACACATCCTCGCGGCCCGACGCTTTGCGCAACCTCAATGTCAGCCAGGCGGACGACATCTTCAAGACGACCATGTTTACGCTCCTGGACACAGATTTGAAATTCATCGCGCACTCCGAGTCGCTCGTATCTGCCGTCAAAAAGATATTCATCGAATGGGGCGATCTCTTTCTTCTTACCACGGATGGCAAGGTATGTCAACTTCCGCTCGGACTTGACCTCGATGCTGAGACTTGGTAGCTCTATCGGTATCGCGAAAAGACCCTCCAACAGAAGCTTGAGATTCTTTATCAACGGAACCTATACATTCTGGCTATCAATATCGCCCAAAAGACTGGTGTGGACACTCTGCAGCAGAATGCTATCTACCGAAAGTACGGAGATTTCTTATATCAAAGGGGCGACTACGACACTGCAATGCAACAGTATCTTCGAGCGATTGACAACACAGAACCATCGCAAGTCATTCGAAAGGTAAGGATGCCCCAAATTCCATGTTGCCAATGAGTGCGCTGAGCAGGGTATAGTATCTGGATACCCAGCGAATACACAACCTCATCGAATATCTGGAGGAGTTACACGACCATGATAAAGCCACAGTTGATCACACCACGCTACTACTGAATTGCTACGCCAAATTGAAGGACACGACCAAACTAGATGAATTCATCAAAGCCCCTGGAGAGCTGAAGTTTGACCTTGAGACTGCCATCGCAATGTGTAGGCAGGGTGGGTATTACGAACAAGCAGCCTATCTTGCCACGAAGTATGGTGAAAATGATATGGTCGTTGATATCCTGATTGAGGACTCAAAGAAATACGCCGAGGCTTTGGAGTACATTTGGAGGCTGGATCCAGAATTGGTCAGTAAATATGCACTCAACTCCATTTTCTAGACTGACATATTCAAGGCTTACCACAACCTGATGAAATATGCCCGGGTGTTGCTCTCCAATTGCCCGGAGAAAACCACTGAGCTCTTCACGAAATACTACAAGGGGCAGTACAGGCCAAGGACTGAAGTTGAGACCCCCGTTGAACCACAAGCGCAGCAGAGTAGCACTTTACAGAGTCTAGCAGCCTTTCTCCCTCTTCCTCTGATGAATGCTAGTTCTGGACCGAAGGCTGAACCATTGGAAAGCTCACGCGAAGTTCAAGGTGAAGATGTCGAAGAATTGATAGAATATCAGGTTCCAAAGCCAAGAACCGCGTTTTCAGTATTCGTCGGCCACCCCGATGAGTTCATCTCATTCCTCGAAGCTCTTATCGAGAAAGAGGATTTGAAAGAGGATGAGAAGATTGACCTCTATACAACCCTCTTTGAAATGTATCTGGATACTGCAGGTCGGAAGAAGGATGCTACTGACAAGGAGGCTTGGGAGAACAAAGCCAAGAAGCTCATCGAGGGGAAAGATGTAGGGGAATCACCCAGACCGGTCTCACTTCGTTACTGATATTCTTAGATACCTATATCCACCTCGAGTGTGCTGCTGTTATCCGACTTGTCCGGCTTCCGGGAGGGATCCACTCTTGTCCGCGAGCAAGAAGGTCTGCGATCAGACATCTTCCGTTCTTTTACATCGGCAAAGGATACCAGCGGTGCTATAAAAGCGTTGAAGAAATATGGACCGGAAGATCCGCAGCTCTACGTGGATGCGCTTACCTATTTTGCTTCAAGCCCCAAGATTCTCGAGGAAGCAGGAGACGAACTGGATGCTGTTCTCAAACGTATTGACGAAGCTGGCCTTATGACCCCGCTGCAGGTCATTCAGACTTTGAGTAACAACGCAGTCGTCACGATGGGTCGTGTCAAGAAGTACCTCAGCGAGAACATTGAACGCGAAAGGAAGGAAATCTCTACGGTTTGTTACCTTACCCGATCCATGATTTTTCTCGCGCTAACATTAGCATCCAGAACCGCCGATTGATCAATAGTTACAGCAAGGAGACTGAAAGTAAGCGTAAGGAGCTGGAGCAATTGGGGGCCCAACCGGTAGTATTCCAATCGCGCCGGTGTAACTCCTGCGGTGGCGCACTCGATCTGCCTACGGTTCACTTTCTCTGCAAACATTCTTTCCACCAGCGGTGCCTCAACAGGGTGGACGAAGATGCGGAATGTCCAGCTTGTGCACCACAAAACTCTACCATCAAAGCCATCCGCAAGCGGCAGGTCGAATCGGCAGATCAACACGACCTGTTCAAGGGAGAACTGCAGCGCTCGAGGGACCGATTCGGGGTTATCAGCGAGTTTTTCGGACGGGGGGTGATGCGACCCCAGAGTACTATGGAGTGATGCAGCCTTTTTGTTTCTAGCACAGCCTTGCATTTGATGTGAATAGATCATGATATCACATACCTGGTGTGTTTGGGTGTTTCGATTTAAATATGACCTAACTACTCCGTAGCCACTGTAGTTACTTGTCTAAAGAGGGAGGTCAGTCTTATCACCACGTGATCTCGCGTCATCTGGGGATTTTCGTATCGGCGGGACGCGACAAGACCAAGTATTATTGGAATTGACCGAGTCTCATTAGCAGAAGGCTGTGTACACTACAGCACAGCTGGCAGTGCCTCCCAGTCCCGTCGATGCACGATCCTAGCCGAGAACATGTCTTATGACCGTGTGATTCAAGACTCGGACGATGAGGATGATCCTCTTGTGGGACCCCATTCCCCGGTGCAGGAATACGATGACGCGCATGCCGACGACCACCTACATGCCGATGTACAAAGACACCAGGAGATTGAGGGCAACTATGATGCGAGCATGAATATCGACTTCGACCAATATCTACAGTCTCAGGAAAGACTGCCTCCGGGGCACTCGTCTCCACAGCACCAACCACCAGAGAGATGGGTCCCCACGAATTCGGGAGGCGGATCTATGGGTAGGACTCTTGAGTTGCATGCATTTGCTTTGCTTTCATCATGAACATTCATCCTAACCAAGGCTCTGCAAAAGGCTCGATGATGACTGAGATTGGCCTCGCCCAGCAACGACTCTTTGACGACGATGAGGTTCAGATGGTTGACCCATCAAGGCAACATCCCCATGAACACGGCTACTCGGAATCGATCCACGCAGAAACCATGATACCCCGACAATTAGAGGAACAGACCAGCGTTAACCCCACCGGCTATCCATACATCAGCGATCCATCATCGTACAGCGCCATAGATAGCAATATCAATTCGGCGCAGGCGGGGCTTTCGCTATCGTCCAACACACATCCCAACACCTCCAGCCTCAATGCTACCCCGCCACCCCAGCAATACGAAGCACCTCTCTCCGATCTTTACACTATGCACACCCACGTCGAAGTGCCAATACGACCACACCATCACGATTTCTCTTCTATCCCAAGCTTCGATCCCTCCTCCGCGGCCGCACAAACATCCTCGTCATCCTTCAACGTCTTCGAGGCGTCGCTCCCACCTCTTCAGAATGTGTACCCTGAGGATACCGACCACCATCATCATAACAACTTCAGCAACTCCGCGGCAACCGTCCCCACCGAAGTAGCACCGACCTCCTCTCCTCGCCGAGTGGCCTCCCTCCAAGCGACTCCTTTCTCTCCGCACGACACTCAACCCTTCTCCCCCGCCCCATCAGCTGTCAAAGCAAGCCGTTCAAAATCCGAGAATCAACACAAGAGCACACCAACGAGCAACCCAACCCCGAACCGGACCGCCATGTCAACGCCACTGCTCCCTACTCAACTGAGCACGGATGAGCTGATTGCTATTCAAGTGCCAGCTATGGAAATCCCCGTGGTGGAAAAGAAACGCGGCCGCAAGAAGAAACAACAGCAGGAGCAGCAGCAGCAGCAGCAGCAGCAGGAAGACGCACCATCTCTGCCAAAATCATATGCCTCAACCACCTCGAACGTGATCGTCATCGACGACGACGCCGAGGATCACGAAGCAGCCCAGCCCTTTACTACCACCACAGACACCCAAACCCCTTCACAGCCCCCTCCAACCACAACCGAACCCCCCAACACCAACAACAAAGCCGAAAAGCGCAAACCCGGCCGACCGCCCAAGAACCCCAAACCAGCGCCCACCGACCCCTCAGAACCGTTGAATCAAGATCCCCCACCGCAACCCACGACAACCGATCCCTCCCCCAATCACAACCACAATCTCACCGAAAACAACAACAACAACATGCCCGCAGAATCCCCAATCTCGCAAACAACCACCCCTACCGTCAAACCCAAAGGACCGAAGAAGAAAAAGCTCAAACGCGGCAAAACCACCTCCATCACCCTGACAAAGACCTACGAATCCGACATCGAACCCGACGTACTCTGGGTCGAGGAAGACACAACAAAGGAGGAAGACGCAAGACCACGTCGGGGCCCTAGCTCCGCGGTCGAACTTCCCCCCTTACCAGCCCATCATCAATCCACAGAGACTAGTTCCGTCCCCAACGCGAGCGAGAATCTCGAGCTCGTAGCAGCGGCGGCGGCGGCGGCACCAGCAGCACCAGCACCCAAGAAACGCGGCCGCAAGAGAAAGAATCCCGAGCCCGAGCCCGACACTCCGGCATTGGGAGAGCAAGAACAGATCCGTCTCCCTGAGCAGAGTGATACGGTGGAAAATCAGCAAGGATTGGATGATGACTCCCTCGACAACCACCTCAACAATGCTCATCAGGGTGTTCGAGAAGGGGAGGAGCAAATGCCACCCCCAAAGCAAGCAGATCCCACTCCCCATCCGCAGCCAGACCCGCAGCCCGTCGAAACGGTTCCTGTCACCCCGTTGAAACCGAACAAGGGCCCCGACAAGCACAGTCCCATCTCGTCGTCGAGTAAGGTGCCCTTCCGGGTCGGGCTGAGTCGGCGGGCGCGGATTGCCCCATTGTTGAAAGTGGTTAAGCGGTGATTTCCCATTCCCAGTTCTCCGAGCAGAGAACTTAACGGTCGTTGGGAATCGAAATAGGAGTCTCTTATTTACTTTTATTCTTTCAATATACGTATATTGTTTGAGGGGAGGAGGGGGCTCCAGACTGTATAATCGCGATCTAAGCATGAGTCATGTCTTTTACGGAATACCCACAAGGGCGCACTTTGCTTTTTACTGTGCTTATACTTAATTGTTTCTCGATTGTTATATCTATGGTGGTTTTCGACTAAGGCCACGACGGGATGCTTCTATAAGCTGCCAATGAACCAGAAATGATCATCATTGCTCTCCAGTGACCCTCATGATCAAGCTTCATAACATTCTTATCAATGCTCAAAGGAGTGTACAAACGTCTTACAAAGCACAAGCTCAGCCTATTAAACATGCAGACTCACAATCATAGTGATCAGGCTGCACCCAGGATATCAATGACGTACCATGCCAAGTCTAGTATGCTAGGCTCTCGATCCCTGACTTATCCAATCAGCACAGCAAGCAAAGGCAATACCGCAAGCTCGATGGGAAATCTCGAAGGCTGGAGCATACGACTCGCACCCGACTTGGCAGGCTTCCCCTTCGATATGACTTTGCTAGATGGTCGGAAGTCGGCGTGATCTTCTTCAGCGACAACGACCTCCTTTTTGCTGTCACAAACTCCGTTGTCAATCTGACAGCCCTCGCCACAGAACGTGGTCAAGTTGCCACAGAATCCGGTTCCACTGCAGCAAGGCCCAAAGCGGGACCCATCGCATGTGACATTGCCGCCACACATCCCGTCGAATGAGACTATCTTCGAGGGAACCTGGAAGACCTCCTTTCTCGAGTTGCGGCCATCGACAGTGTTGTCTTCACGGTACCAGTACTTGGGAGGGTCTCCAAGACACTCACCCACCGTCACTGGTCGGAATCCTTCGGCGGTGAGCTTTTTCAACATGTGCTCCGTGAGGTTATGGACGGTCTGCTCATGAACATCATGAGCAATCACAAGCCAGGGACGGTCAAAGGCAGTCCGAGCATCCAGACTACTATCGAAGATATCCTTGGAGCGTTGGATTTCCGTTGGACTGTCGTGCTTGTAATCCTCTGTGTCGATATCATATAGAATGATATGGTAGCCAAGCTCCCCCATATCCGCCAGGCAGCCGGACTCGGCCGTGCAGCTAGAATAAGGAGGGCGCATGTATGTAGGGAAGAATCCCAGAATGTTCCGCAGAGCGGCCTCATTCCACAACAGCTGAATGCGACGCTGGGACCGTGAGATCTTGCTAAGATCCTGGTGAGACCAGGTGTGGCTGGCAAGCTGATGGCCACTCTCGTGCATACGTCGAATCAAGCCTGCCCATGGCATTCCAGGGCTGTCAATCTGACCTTTGGCGTTGTTGTTGCCGGTGATGAAGAAGGTCGCCTTCGCTTCGTACCGGTCAAGAAGATCGAGTAGATCCTTTGTGAACTCCTTGGGCCCGTCATCGAAGGTTAGAGCGACAGTACCCGGGACAGTGCAGGATCGAATGATATTAGGTCCGTAAAGGGCAGCCCCGTCAAGAGGACGGGGAATGTCTTCGGTGGAGGATCCGCCTGGGGTCATGTGCGCGTCACAATAGCCGTAGTCGATTTGGCAGTCAGGAGAGCTGCAGTGGTCCCTGGAATCTCCACAATAGCCTGCAAGCATCAGAATGGATCTTGCCGGTCAGAGGCACAAGAAAACCTACCGGCAGTGGAGCAGCAAAGTTTCTCTGGACATTTGCCAACCCCGGAGCCGCATCGAATGCCAGCTGGTGCACGCACTGCAAGTGGCTGAATGCTAACATCGTCCTGGGGGCGAGGAATAATTGGGGACACCTGATGGTTCGACTGCAGAGTGATGATGTTCCGGGCAGTCGTGCACGCTGCAAGACCCCAAACGGGGAGGGCCCAATTCAGCATACGCATAGTGCCGACTCTGAATCTGGTAAAGTGTATACGAAGGCTAAGATGCAATGTAATACAACACGATAAGAGTCTTGTGTGGAAAATAAGATGTTGAAGTTGTGGGAGGAAATAGGAAGAGAGCTGGAGGAAGAAGCATCAGAGCTGCTTTGAATGTGCTGGCCGACAACACAGAGGAGGAAGCTGCGATGATCAACTCTGTGAACCGGAAGCGGCCAGCTTGTCCCAAACATGACCATGAGGCAGTCGCGATGGGAAAGACCTCCAAATCTCCATTGGTGCTGAGACACTGTCGTTGCCTGAGAAATTCTGGCCTGATTTCAAATGCTGGACTGCAATAAAAACAGGCAATCAGCCGGAAGAACCACATACCCTGCTTCCATGTATTCCTCGTCAAGACATGCCCATCTTGACTGATAGCCCAGTTGCGACAGAAACACCAGCTCAAAGCACAATATATGTCTCGGTTCCTGGAGGTTTCCCTAGAAACTCCTCGGGGTAGCAGTTCATATCCAAATATCGGGAAGTTACGCGGGCACGGCAGTGGCTGCCATCCCTGCCAACCAGCCGTGGCGAGCAGGAGGCGCGCATCGTTGGCGATATCAGATAGTCGTCCAGAATACAACTGGGGTGATCTTGCACAAGTGGACTAGTTCTGAAAGTAGATATGAGACCATGATTTTCATTGAGGGTATAACAATCCACGAGGTCCAGCGATAACCGGGAGTTCATCAATCTATCGAGACGAGATCCTACATTACATTGGAATTTGTCTTTTGAGGAGTCCGTCGGAGCATCACAAGAAAGTCAGCTCAGCTGACTGGTGCCACTGCATCCTCACCAAGGGCTGAGAACACGAATGGCGCCAGCGTTGGAAGGTAGGGCCCGAACTTCGCGGGGGCGCTCTTCGCTATGCTGCCCACCGTGGCGACAAGGTGACGCTGGTGGATCGTAGTGGGTTGAGAATTGAACTTTTTGGTGAGATCTTTCACGAAGAGGTTAAGCTGATGGTCGGAGAAATGAAGGACCAAGGCCGAGATGGCTGCCAGTGCGCGCTTCGTCACCACGGTACCAGCCGTGTCGTTATCAACAATGGACATGACGGAGTTTTGCAGGGCGGTCAGCTCAGCTTCCTGCAAGAGTGGTCCGAAGCAAGTGACAACTTGAATAAGAACATCAATGGCATCGCTGCTGAACCCCTTGGATGGATCCTTCTCGAGCATACCCTTGACAACAGACCCTCTTCTGCTGGAAGGTGATGGTATGGGGCCCGTCAGACGAGGTATGAGCACACGAGACACCGCCGAGTAAGCCGAAGTGGCCTCTTGGCTGGGGGGCTGTCCAGCTTGAGGGCGAGGGAGAGCAGTGACGATGTATCGTAGCGCGGTGTTGGGGACGGATGTATCGATGGTTTGGGAGGCAGTGAGGTTGGTGAGCTTTTCGAGAAGAGAGGCGAGATTCTCAAATGGCAGTCGGTGAACGAGAGGACCGAGACTAATCATTATAGAGGAGTCAGTTGTGTGTGTGATGATTAAGAGAGCGGGGAGCATGCCATTTCAGTGCCTGGTTTTGGACATCGCCGTGTTGATCATCAAGCGCCTTGAGGAGGCCCTCGGCCAGCTTCGAGGCGGAGCCTTGGTCATGAGCCAGATATGACGAGTTTGGGTTGTTCAGAAGACCAAGAAGATCATTGAGGGACATGTATCTCATATCCGGATCGGGATCATCCAGCTTATGAAGCAAGTTGTTCAAAGTGTGCTGCACTGCTTGTCGGTCCCCCATGATGAAGCCCCGCACTGGAATTTGAGGTGTCGAAGGTGGGCGCTTGTGAACAGAGATGTGAGAACGAAGTACAAGCCTTTGTAGAGATGGTGTAAAGAGGGGTCAAGAGAATGCAACAGACTTTAGGAGATGAGCCAACACGTCAAGGGGAGAGTGGAGGGAGGTGGTGAGGGGAATGAAAGTCGGATCGATAGTGATTGTGATAACTACGGATAGTCAATCAAGTCGAGCTGATGCTATCGGAGCTGGCTGCCTGAGGCTGCAGTAAGCTTCTCCGGAAGGCGACACCGGCCATCCGCGCATTCAGCCACCACAGCACACCAAGATTAGCCATTGCATTCAGTGAGGATGCAACGTTGATGATGAAGAGGCTCAACGAATTGTAGGCAGTGATGCTCACAATGAATGCATATCAGAGAAGCAAAAGGAAGTTATAGGCAAGTACATACTCAAGTAGTAAGCTAAGTATAGCTCAATACGGAGAAATAACCGGGAGGGAAGAAGCACCGCGGTTGATCTCCGCATGGGGACATTACATCATTTGGTGTAATCAATAATAACTTGAGTACAATTCAACTACTCTTACTCTATATAAGCTATAAGATCACGCCGGCAATTCCCGCTCCGTCAGTGTAACTACAACTATAGTACAACTCCCTGGCCATTAAGTCATACCATCATCGTTCCTCCTCCCTCCGAAATCCAGCCAGCCTCCTCTTTTCACACCTTGATCCCTCCTCTCTCCTTCCTGTTCTTCCTTCCTTCTTCTTCCTTCCTTCTCTCTTCTCCTCCCCCTCCCAATTATACCATACCCACATCAATTGCTTCATCCCTACCATCCCACACACTCAATTCCTCCCATCCCACCTTCAAGAGACCCTAGAATCCATCAAAAAAACACAATGGTTCTCGCACGCCCTCAGATCCTCCGCGCCTCCGCCCGAGCCCTCGGCACCGTGCGACAAACTGTGCCCACCCAGCAATTCGCTCGTCGAACATACGCCCAAGCCGCCGAATCGACCAACAAGTCCTCCGATCTTCCTTGGTGAGTGGAGTGAGATTAAACCTCCAGGCCCCCTTCACCTGTGTCAATCTTGCTCAATTGGCTTCCTCTTCCACTCACCATTGACACCCCCCCCTCTTTCCCCCAGAACCAATTAAACTAACCCGCCCAAAAAAACCAGGCTCATCGGCTCCCTCGGCCTCGGCATTCCAGGAGCCTACTACCTCCTGGCAACGGGCCCCAAAGCCGCCGCCTCCTCGCACGACACGCCGGACACGCACCACCACGGCGAACCCAAGGGCAAGACCTCGACCTCGGCCCCGATCGAGAAGGAAGAATCCGCCTCGGCCCAGGACTCGGCCCCTCAACCGGACCGGGACGCCGAACAGAAGACCGAGTCGGACTCGGGAGCAGCAGCAGCAACCGCTTCGACGGATGGGAAGGCGCCGTCGGAGGCTGATGAGGTGGGTTTCCCTCCAACATCCTTTACCCCCCCCTCATTCTTGGACCGAAAAGTCTAGACTTCTGTATCGTGATCGAGGAATGCTAACTCCGACCCAAAAGCCCTCAACTCGCAAGGAAGCGGGGAATGCGTCGACCATCTCCGGCAAGCAGGAGGGGATTTCCAATGCCACTACGGATCATCCGCATGTGAACGAGCCCGGGAAGAGTGTCAAGGGGGAGGGCGAGACGGAGACGGCCAAGGTTAAGGGGACGGTGTCTCCGGATCGTCCGCAGCAGTAGATAGACAACCAAAATTCCTCGTTCGCTTCGGCCGGGGGTTTTCTGTATGATGCAATGTTTTTTTATTTTTTTTTTTCATGTATAAGACCATGAATTTTCCTCAAGAATTGTTTGAAACAGCAACGTACTGATATAATCTCGTATCCTGTTTGGTTCCTGCATCGGACATTGTGAGTCTGGATCTGGAAAATATCGGGAAGTAAACCAGTAAATGCTAATGCCAATTGGCATGTGATTATGCACGGGAGGTAATGTCTGGAGGAAATCGAAAGTGAATCGCACCGACCGATTGTCAGCCAGCGCGGATCTATTACTATATTAGATTAGACATCTGCAGGCGGTCCCAATGCGCCCTTCACTTCTCCGGAAAAGGAAGAAAAGATCCGCTCTCCGCACGGCCATCAAAAGAAAACAAGAAACAGAAAAAGGAAGTGCGCAGTCGTGGCAGATTCATCGCTTATATCCATTTCAAAGTTGCATCCCCAGGTACGCCCGCCCAAATGACCGACACCACAAAACACGGTGCATGCAAAGCCAGCCGTTACCCTCATACACCCACTTGCACTTGATAACCATGCAGAGGGAAGAAGACATGGAGAAAATACAACTGTCGGGTTTGTTCACGAAAAGGAAAAGGGAAATGAAAAAAGGGAGTTCGAACATGGATGCCATAAAATGTTCTTGGGAATGTTAAAAGTTATAGACAAGCCTCACACAAGGGTGGGCTACACGATCCCAGGATGGACCGCTAGGATGCGCACTTTCGCCGCAGCTGGATAGTAGGAGACCATTCTGACTGCAATTTGCAATTGACTAGTGCTTGTTGTTCACCGGCTGACCGTTCACAAGGACTTGGGGGGTCTTGTTCTCTTTGCTGCGGGCACTCAGGGTCGGCTCCTCGATGCCCGTTGCGATGGCGGCATGGCTGCTTGCCTCGGGAACAGGAATCTCGTCCTCCGTATCCTCGTCATCGCTTCTCTCGTCCTTCTTGATGTCACTGATGAGGTAGTTCTTCAAGATACGCAGAATCAGGAAAAGCCAGAACAAATTGACAGCTTGCAGACTGGCCAGCAAGGCGAAGGTGATGTATTGACTGATCCAGCACTTGTACTGCTGAGTCTCCCAGTTGAGCTCGAAAGGTCCAACGGTGCGAAATTCGGTCAGAACAGCCCAGAGGATCTTCAGGTTCAGGTAGTGGCGAAGATAGATCCACATGCCGACGAACATACCGAAGTACGGCGCGGTGATCCAGTGGTCGAGGTAGTTGAGGGTCTTGGAAGTCTATAACGCAACCATGTTATTATCAACTTGGGTTAAGGGGAGGGCTGGAGTACATACGGCAAGGAAGAAGTCAGAGATATCGTGCGTAATATACACGGCGATACCCATGTAAGTGAAATGGAACCTGTAGCTCAGTCCAATCAGGGCCAAGGTGATGATGTGGTGTGCCACCAGCTCCTTGAAGTCCTTGCGTGGCTTCTCCAACTGAAGCATCAAGACAATCGCCTGTTGCGCCCAGTAGCTCGCCTCCAGCAGGTAGTAGGCCTTGAACAGCGCCTCATGCTCCCGGTGAGGAAAGCCTTCAAACATGGCCGTAGTGTTGAAATACCATATGTCTGATCTGTACATGACGTACAGACCAAAGGGACCGAAGATTCCGAAGTAGATAGCTGTATACACCTGCTCCATGAACCGAGCAGTTTTGCCTTTTCCGCGAATGCCACAGTACACCGCAAAGGGTCGGATCCAGCGCTGCATCATAAATTCACGAGTGAATGACAAAACCACCGTGTAGAAGGAGACGAAAGCAATATCCTTGGGGCCCTTGCCGTACATGATCGGACCGCCAGGGTACTTCGGGGGCTGCGGGTAGGACAGGAAGATGGCGCTGTGCAGCGGATTCGATTTTGTCGGGTTGATCGCATACAGGAAGAGAAGAACAATGAGGATCAGCAACGGCAGAAGCCAGGTGTGCTTTAGGCAAACATCCTTGAAGCGGCGCAAAGAGGACTTTTTGCGGCGTTTCGCAGGCGGCTTAATCGACTTGTCATCGGAGGCACTGGACTGCAGCACCTAATGGTGAAGTGAGCGGAGTGGAAGGGGAGACAGATGCCAGTGAGAGCCAACGATGGGGCGTAATGTGATCATACCTTGTCCCAATTCGGGGCTTCAGCATCAATTGGGCTGACTTCGTTCATGGTAGACATGGCCGGTGCGCCAGTGTCACCGCGGATGTCCGCACCCAGATTGCTCGATCTCCGTCCTCGAACCATACTGAACAGAGTAGCAGGATGTGACTGATAATATATCGCCTGCTTGTGTGCTGGACAAAGGACCGGTGATGCCTCCCTCTTCGTATCCAACGGCCCTCTTCAAGCCACCGAAAGCAGAAAGGCGCACGGGGAAAAAGTACCGAGCGGAGCGGAATGTGAAGCACCGGGACTTGACAGAGCGCGCGGGAAGGGGGATGATCGACCAACAGAGCGTACTGAAGGAGAGCGACCCAGAGGGCAACAGGAAAAGACAAAAAAGGGCTATAAGAAGAAGAGAAAGGAGAAAAAAAAGGAAAAGGAGCCGCAGACGCAAGTGCGAATTGGGGAGGGCGAACCGTGAGGAAGCAGGAGGTTGAAGAAGAAAGAAGGGAAGAAGAGGCGGCCCGCAAGACGGAGAAAGTGTAGTGCTAATGTTGAGTTGTGTAGACGACGGATGGTCCAAGCATCCTTCCGCTCCGGCCTCGCAATGTCTTCCTTTACGGGCCCCGTCTTTCTCTTTTTCCAGGGGTTTTTCTGCTTTTTCGTCTTCTTTTTCTCTTTTTTTTCCCCCTTCTCTTTATTCTTCTAGCCCCAAAGTAAAGTTAGATTGATCCTCGGGCAGTTCAGTTTCCCCGACTACTCCACACGATCATTACCCTGTCGGACCATTGTCAGGTTGACCCCTGATTGTCGTGGTCTTCTTCCGTCACTGGGCAGAACTGAATGATTTCAAATGGTACTAGTATGTACTCCGTAATATGCAGTACTGCATATCAGTGTATAAAAATACGATCCACGTTGGTTGTGCGCGTGCCATTGGGTCGAATCTGATTTTTAGTCTTCTTGGCAGCGATACTAACAGATTTCCTGACTTTTCATTGGCCAAGAGACTTCACCGCCTCACCTTATGTGTGTGGATAGTTCATTCTTCATCATGGATCAGATACGATTACGACAGCCCACCTGAAGAAGCAGAAAAGGAGATTCAGCCTCATCTTGGCAAAAGACATGTGTTGTCCTCGGTACTGTAGTCGCAGCGGTCTTCGTCTATAAGACGACCATGTTGCATTCTGCAGGAATCAGAGGATCCATGTGTCTGAGCAATTCGAACCTTACTTGGTCCGTTATGTTTCCAGGCATAGTATTGATTATATGGAATTTGTGTTGTAAGCTGGGACCCGTCAATGATCTTGGCTATGGGAGCCCTTGAGCAAGCCACTAAATCCACATTTTTAATGGATGATTAGTATAGTAGCTCATCTCACCTCATTCTCAGCACCATCGCATATTAGTGAACAACCAGTGCAAACGAAGAGGCGGTGGCAGAAAAAGGCACTAAGTCAAGCTAGCTTAGCACTCTGGCCTACAATGATGGTGTTGACAACGACCTTATCGACGGCAAGTTGGAAGGGCTTATAGAAACTAAAAATCTCTTCAATTTGAAGCGATTCCGTCAATTTTGATATTGAGAGTCCAAAGACCGCAGATACCCAAGGTTTCGGCTGCGAACCAGTCGCATCATCGCATGGCCACGAGCAGTGGAGAAATGCCTAACTCATTCCAGCTAGGTCAATATGCACGGCTGAGATACCGTTTTCCCAAATAGGCAATCAAGTATAGCCTCCACCACCAGGCTCATGCTTCACAGCTTGTAGTCCACGGCATCCTTCATAAGCAGGAAATGGCTCGCTAGAGCTCCGATGGGTCCTTTTCAAGGTCAGAAAAGGACATAAAAGGCGCTTCGTTTCTCTCGAATGTCCAAAACCTCGAATCACAAGTTTCACCTCGCAATGAGAGCCCAGTCCGATTCCTCTCTTAGCCTCCAAGGCAAAGTGGCCCTCATTACTGGTTCAGGCAAGAAGAGAGGCATTGGCGCCGGCATAGCCACTACTCTTGCACAACATGGTGCATCTGTTGTCATCAACTACGTCTCTTCGTCAACAGCATCCTCCGCTGCAGCAGTGGCTGAGGATTTAGTTGCTGCAGGCGGAAAGGTACTTGTCGTCCAGGCAGATATTTCCCGCCCTGAGGAGGCACAAAGACTTGTAGGGGAGACGGTCACCGCGTTTGGAAAGATCGATATACTAGGTGAGCTCTGTCTTAGCGCTTACCGAGATCTGATGGCTTATTCGAGGTTTGCAGTCAACAATGCAGGAACGGGGTTTCCTGGTCCTGCACTGAATGCGACCCCAGAGTCTATGGCAACCACCTTCGGCGTGAATGTCTTTGGGCCTCTCTATCTGGTTCAAGCTGCCGTGGCACACATGCCCCCGTGCAGTCGTGTCATCAACATCGGCTCCGTTGCGTCAAAGCTAGGAGTTTCAGGGTCGCCAATTTACCTCGCCTCGAAGGCGGCAACGGATGCATTGACACTTGCTATGGCTGGTGAGGTAAGTTGAGATGCATCTGTACTCTTGTACAAGCATGTAGTAGAAGAGCGTGCTGATTTTCCTTTAGCTGGGCCGCGGTCATGGCGGCATAACGATCAACACGGTTTCACCTGGTCCCGTGGATACGGACGGTGTGCCACCCCATGTGGCAGAGAAGATTCACAAGACTATGGTACCCATGACCCGGGTAGAAGAGAGGGTAGGCACTGTGGAGGATGTCGCGGATGCGGTGCTTCTGTTGTGCTCCGAGAAAAGTCGATGGATATCGGGGCAAGTAATCTCAGTCAGTGGCGGAATAGTGGGTGGTTGAGGGTGGCTTCAGATCAGCTTGTTTGTGTACTCATTCTAATTACATGTTGGCTGGGGTAAGTTGTGAAATCAACCGGTCGGTCTGAATGTGCAACGCGTCAACCCAAAGAATGCTCTTAACTAATTTCAAAGCGTCATTGACATCGATGCCTAGAGAACTGATTGCGGACCTGATTTCCGCCGTATACAAATTATTTGGGTTCGGGTCTGCAATTAATGAGACAGTCACCAGCGCCCACAAGTATAGCTTCAAGCATAGAGCATCATACTTGGTCACGGGTAGGAAGGCAACAAAAGCTGTGAATTTGCGCTGCAGGTGTGGCCATTCGCTTGAAGTGAACCGAAAGACGTCTTTCTTCAAAACTGCAAGGAGCAACAGGAGAGCCAACCGTATGGCTTCTCTAAGAAATTTAGTTTCTTGCGGGCTGGAATCAAGATCGATAGGCCTCGACATGAACAGAAGGAAGTGTGTTGCTGGTCCGAACAATTTGATTATGGTAAGGCTGTCTTCACGCTGCCAGGATGGCTCGGAGTGACGTTGTATTCTATCAACGGTGATAGCGACAGATGCCACGTAGTTGAAGGCGATCGCCACATCACAGAAGGCCCCGTCTCTGATAGACAAATCATCGAGCAGGCCTCTTACCGAGGGCGCTATAACATCCGGAGGGACCGCATCCAAGTATTCTGCGAGCCCTGATGGCTTTGGCATTCGAGGATGAGCATCCTCCGCCACACTCCCAACAACATCGAGCCTAGTCACAAAACCGTCAGCTCATGTCCAACCTCCTCGAGAAGGTCGCATTGCCAGCTGAAAATCATACCAAAAGGCAAACAAGGCCACATTAGGAGAGAGACCATCGTACCCTCCTCTGCATCGAATGATACGCTCAAGGCCGGTGAAATGAGTATTCCATCGATCGCCCATTCCAACATAAAGCTTGAGCACTAGTCAGTCTTCCAATGCAGTGACCCACGAGAATAAGCCTGCCTTACATCATGACAGATCAATCCCAGAATAGCGGTAATTACACCTTCACTGAGACTGTCCTTGACGCTTCCCAACCGGGCCCTTACTTGCTGCACACATCTTCCGTAGTACGCTAAGCACTCGGAGCTTGTCTCATACTTGAACTCCTGCGCGCGGACTCTTTGGTCAAAAAACATGGCAGCGTTCGCCAAGGCCACGAAGATGGCGCTGGGATCGGTCAACGCCATGGAGAACCAGACGGAGCGAAACGGTCGGAAAACATAGTCCTTGTCGCTTGTCACTGTATTTGGTAAGCTAAGCACTCAGATGGTAGGATGAATAATTATGTGGGGAGTGTACTGAAGTGCATCAGCTGTAGTTCTCGGTCGTCGAGAGGGACAGGGTAGTAAGCGGCATTGCATGGGTCAATGGAAGCCGGAATGCTGGTATTCGTCAATGAAGGAAGAGGATCGATGGCCGCCGTGTTTGGATTGATGGGCGGTCTCACGGACAAGGCCCAGGTTCGTGGCTTCCGCTGTGTCCGACGCGATCTCCCGATGTCCCGCATGACCGTACGTCGGATGGTGCGCTGGGTGGAGGCGGACTTGATTTCATCGGGTCGCGATATGTTCACAAAGACCAGGTCGTCTTGTTGAGTTTGTGGTTGCTTCATCATGCAGGAGGTGTCTGTAAGTGTGGGGTAGGAAGGAAGGAAGCAATCGCAGGGTTTTGAGATTGGGTTCGATGGTAGAAAGATCACACTAAGCCGGGTGGAGGATAATGCATCCTACTATTGAATCCATCGTGAGCTGTTTGGATCCACCCCAAATAATACAAAGGTGACGACATTTTTTACTTAGTGGAGTGGTAGAAGTCATTCTATATTATGCACCCTCTCATAAAGCCTCGTCTTATGTAGCATTATCGTCTAACTCAGAGTTATCAGGTATATCTGCTCCCTCGGCCGTATTGATCTCTCTGCCTCGTTCAGAGCACGTATGACTCTGCATACCAAGGATTTGAATCTGAAAGTCCTGGATACCCTAGTCTACCTCTTGTATCTAGCTAAGCAATTGAATCAAATGGTCTGCGATCAAATTCCCAACAAGATCATAGCCATCTGGTTTCATATGGACTCCGTCATCCCAGATCTTCTCCTTGAAGTCCTGTGCAGCGCTGTGATAGGGAACCTCTTTGTGAAGGTCAAAGACATAACTACTCAGTCAGGTCAAACCAATTCTCACCTTTGAGAGTTGGAATACTCACAAGCTATCAGCATCATAACTCAAGATCTGCGAGTTGAGCTCCGCCCGCGTATTATTCAACCGCTGATGCACTGCCCCGCATTCAGGGACTGTCAGAGCTAGCACATTGGCGCCGCTCTTTATAGCCATGGTCCAGGCCTGAATCAACCCGGGAAGGATCTTTTCAGCGGGGTACATGTAGCCGAGGTCACTGCGTATATCACAGATCAGTATTGAACAGAGGGTGAATCAGGAAGCGGAGATCCCCTACTTTGTCCCACCAAGCATAATCACCCAATCATAAGATGTTGCTGCGCCTTAATCGGTTCGATCTTTCGGTTGATTTCTCATCTGTGTATGACAGAGGTAGGTAGGGAATGTCGGACGCTTGAAGGCTTACATTTCTGCTCCAAGCGAGGCAGAAAACGCCCCGGGGGGCTATTGACCAAGTCGCCCGGAAGCCCGTCGACATCAATCCGGATGGTGTGGGTTGGAAATGCAGCCTTGAGGCGTTCTTCCAGTTTCCAGGCGTAAGGGTGGTAATCCAGCCCATAATTGTAGTATCCTGCTGTCAAGGAGTTGCCGAAACAGAGGATTGACAATGATTTGCTCATTGCACGGGTGGTATGACGACGACGCTAGGCGAATTTTCTAGTGGAGGGGTTCATGTTGAGGAAAGGAGTGAATGGAACGTTGAGACCTTGAATCTTTGAAGGAAGACAAGGCTGGAAGGCTGAGGGCGGCTGCGCGGGGTAGTTTGCTGGTTCTTTCTGTTGTTGTTGTTGCTGTAAGGCTGGCTGTGTCGCACCCTTCCTTCTACATACCTTCGTCACTGGTTCAATGTCTCAGTCTAAATTCTGAGATAATCCTCTTCAATCTCACTACATTGACTACATGAGATGAACTAGGAGGTGTCTCAATCTCCACCCTCCAGCACGCACAAGTCACAGTCACACAATGACGCATACTTGTAACTGTGAACAATGGGAGAGAAACCCCCTGCTCTGCCGATATGCACCTCGATGCATCGATGCAAGACATTATGGTTTATCTTGACTGCATTGTGACACAAATTAGAGCTCCCCTGCACTGGCGGCCATGCGATGGACCCAAGCGTACCTGCTTAGATGGGATTCTGCATGCCAGGGGTCAGTACCTATAATCAATAGGACTCCAACTACTTGTTCAAAGCTTTCATTTCTTTCTCGCAAAGATCGCTTATCCCGATGCTCGAGCTATCGACAACTGCAGTTAGCAGTCATCATGGATCGCTACCGCGGAAGCCTTATCTGGCATGGTTCGATCGTCCACGGCGATCGCTCAGGCACCCACTCAACATCGCGCAGCCTGGTGAGATTACTTTCAGCTGGCTACAGATATGCTATAGAAGCTTGCTCTAGGACGTTTCAGTCGGGACGTGATTGCAAAATGTGGTTTGCCCTCGGGCTAAGGGCCATAGCACCTGGGCATCTATAACCGATCAAGCGCTCCGATTCACTGGCTGTCAGCCACGAATATACTAAACAAACAAACTTTTTTGAGGTGACCACTGATCGGTGAATAACAGAGAGTCAAGCTCATCAGCTGATCTACTTTTCGTGTTGTTATATATGAGCACAAAATGTCTCCCTCCCTTGTTCATCTCCACCTACCAGCCCCAAGCTCAGTGCCATCATGGTCACGAAGTCACAGAACATCCCAGAACGTTGCGCTGTCCTTGTGATTGGTGGTGGGCCAGGTGGCTCATACTGTGCTGCTGCTCTGGCTCGAGAGGGTATTGATACAGTGTTACTGGAAGCAGACCAGTTCCCTCGGTAAATACCATCCTTTCAGCTCTTTCTTAGCGATTTGTTCCATTGCAAGACTGAGACTTTTTCCAGTTACCATATCGGGGAGAGCATGCTGCCATCAATGCGCCATCTGCTTCGTTTCATTGACTTGGATCAGGCTTTCGACCATTACGGCTTCACAAAGAAGGTAATTTGTTCTTCCCCCTACTAGAGACTGCAACAACTAATCAAAGGCGTGTAGTTTGGGGCATCCTTTAAGTTGGATAAAGCCAAGCGAGCTGGGAGTATGGGACTACCAAGTTTCCTTCTGTTCCTATTGCTAATAGGTCTCTGTGGTGTACAGATACTGATTTCCTCGCCGCTGGGGGGCCCGACAACTACGCGTGGAATGTTGTCCGCTCTGAGGCTGATCATTTGATGTTTCAGCACGCAGCGACATGCGGCGCAAAGACTTTCGACGGTGTCAAGGTCAAGTCCATCCAGTTTGCTCCCGATGCGCATTCTCAAATTGGCAAGCCTGTTTCCGCATCTTATGTGAGCCAACTAGATGAGTCTCGTGATATCAGAGAAATTGCCTTCGACTATCTGGTCGACGCGAGTGGTCGAAGGGGTTTGCTTAGCACCAAGTACCTCCATAACCGCCGATACAACGAGAGTCTCAAGAACATCGCCCATTGGGGATACTGGCAAGGAGCCGAGCCTTATGCAAAGAATACGTCCCTGGAGAATCAACCTTTCTTCGAGGCATTGCACGGTAATCATATGTTTCCCCTCCATCCTTCCTCGTCGCGACACTAACCGACCTTGCCTCAATCATTAGACGAAAGTGGCTGGGTCTGGCTTATTCCTATGCACAACGGGACCGTTTCGGTGGGAATTGTGAGAAACCGCAAGACTTGGACTGTGAAGAAGCGCGAGTCTGGCTTGGGGCAGGAGGAGTTCTACCATCACACGCTGAACCTGGTACCGGAAATTCAGCGTCTGCTTCGCAAAGCAG